TACAGACTCTTTATGGTTATCATGGGATGGTCTTACAGGTGGAGGATGCTGATATTTTATCTCCTCATCTTTTCTGACAATTTGAATGTTTCCAAGAATGAAATTGCAATTGCGAAATCTCCTGGAGGTGAGTGACTGTTTACCTATAATTGTTTCTTTGGATTCTAAATCACAGTTTCATGTAGGAAGATATTAGACCAGTATTAAGTAGAGGGAGGAAAAAGATACTGCTGGATATCTATATCTATGTGTATAGTTATTTTACCATAAATTCTGACTAATGGAATTGTTCAATTTCAGGCACCAAAACTGAAAGTGGAATACAGAAAACTACTGTGAGAAGAGAGTATGTGTTTCCACTGGTATTTTTTGGTGTGTTTGTCATCTATCTATTCATAAATAATAACAACTGTATTAATTAATAATTGAATTGTATGCTTTAAGCTCTTCCAGATGATAAAAATAAACCTGTCATGGTTCTGGGTCATATTGACCCAGCATTTTGAGTTTCTTATGTTTTGGTTTGATTTTGTATTATGGGTTATATTCTGATTCTATTGTTGTACTTTGTTGATTATTATTATTATTATTATCCTGTGTTCTGGTTTCTGTTTTTGTATTTTGAGCCCTTCTATTCTGTGTCTAGTCTGTGTCTCTGTGCCTGCCCTGTTCCCATGTCTGTGATGTCATAGTGTTTGCTTTAAGTTGTGCCTGTCATGTTTCCTGTTTTACTTTGAAAGTCTGTGTCGATGTTTCTAGTTTTGCTTCCCTTGTCTTGTTAGGTCTGATTTCTCTCAGCTGTGTTTCCCTCCTGTCTTATATTCCCTGATTACTCCAGTGTGTATTTAAGCCCTGTTTTCCTTACCTTGTATTGTGTTGTACCCTCTTCATGCTGTTTTTTTTTTTTTTTTCTTGTACTCCTGTTAGCTTTGTAGTGTAGGTTTCTTCGTTCCTGTTACCAGTTTAATTTTTAGTTTTGCTTTGAGGTTTTGGTTTGTTTTTGTAAAGTCTATTTTCTCAGCAATACAGCTGCGCTCTAAGTTTAACCTCCCGTCTACGAGTCCTGCATTTAGGTCCAATCCTTCCTGCCACACAGTGAATCATGACAAAACCAAGGAAAGTGGTTGAATGTATTGCTTTGCATATACTAAAAGCCTGCAAGCAGAAAACCTGTCCAAATTTGAACTGTGTAAAGTGAAACACTCATAAATACATATTATGTCTGCTGGAGACAGCAAAGAGGTTTGCCCCTGGAACTGGTCTCCATACAGAGGTCGCTGTTTCATTCATGTTCATTTATGTACAGATGAAAAGTTCTGGGATGATGGTGAGTGCAGGTCTACTCAGCCATAGCGCAGACAGATGGAAATCACCATAAACACAGAGGTGTGGACGAGTAAAACAGATTTACTCACGCAACGTCAAAGGTGTGCGCCGTTTTTGACGTTGCGCTTTGTGCCACGTTATTGTTTACATGAGATGAATTTCTACAATTGGCAGATACAGACAAAATACTGTTTCTGTTAATCTTACTATCTGCAGTTTTTACACACTTACATATACACATACAGTTACTATCCCTCCATTTAGTTTTAGGGACATTGGAGAAAAAAAACATGAAGATGAACTTTTGCGACTGAGGCCGCATTTGAAGGCCAATTATGTCACAGCCAGGCAACGAAGGCTGTCCCAATCGAAGGCTGCTCCAAATGCATCCTTCATTTTCCCAAATTTGACTGATGAGTCGGGTATATCCTTCGTGGCCCTACCTATCCCAGAATTCATAGCATGGCTAAGCCAATTCCAGTTTCCAACAATGTTGGCAGCTACTTAGTTTTAATATTACTCTTTCTGGGTCACAAAATAAATGTTTAAAATATTTTCAGGCGAGAATGTAGCTGTGAAAATTTCAAATATCTGCTTGGTTTATCAAGACATTACATATTTGCAAAAGCGCTCAAACATTTTTGGAGACATCTGTTACCCACCATCCTTTGGAGGCTGCCAGGTCGAAGCTGAACAGGAGGTCGAGGCCCACTAGAGCCGGCGAGAACACTGCACTGCCAGCACATCAGGCCTTGACCTCCAGGTCAGCTTCGACCTGGCAGCCTCCAAAGGAAAGGATCTCGCAAAAGTAACTCGGGATCTTGTAAAAGTTCATCTTCATTTTTTTTCTCCAGTGTCCCTTGCGGGGCTTCGTACATTACAGTTGTGAGTCTACACCAACCAAAATACTGTCTTTAGTTATACATTTGAAATGCAAAGGGAAAGGGACAAATTATCAACTTGGAGTCAAACTCTTTCACATTTAGGCATTCCCTGAAAATTCATCATATTTTGAACATGTATAAGACAGAGATGGCACGATACCACTGTTTTATGTCCGATACTGATATCACAAATTTGGATCGATATGAATCCGAAAGTGTATTTTTTTTAAATATCTTGCTGCATTTTGTATAAGTTCATACTCAGGTTTTAAAAAACAAAACACTAAAGCTATTCTGTTATACCTTTATCCAAAAAATACACTGCACCCAAAATATTCCATAGTTCAGCAATACTGATCAATCTAATAAACTTAAAACTACACCATCCTCCCTATTTTGGTATTTTCAAGAGTACTTAGCAGAAACATTAAACAGCCTAATTAACAGGGTTGCCAACTCCCAGCAAAAAAAACAACAAAAAAAAAAAACAGGGAACCACCCCCTACCTTCCGCCTCATGATGCTTAATCAATGTAATTGACTTTAATTTCATGCATGTGTAAAACAAATTCACAGAAATCAATTATTTTTCTACAATAATTAAATAGATTCAACATCTTTCTTCAACAGAATTGCAGACTGCACAGATGGTACCTTCCCAAAGGAAAAAGTACTACAGCTTACTAGGGTATATATTAGACTTAATAGTTACTATATACAATAATGTACTTCTAGGGCTGGGCGATATAAACGATATATGATAGAAACGATATAAATTTGGCCAACGATAGAGATTTTGACTATACCGCTCTATCGCGATAGCACATGTTGATGATGTCATCAAGCTGCACCTGTTTTGGTCGAAAGCATAGCAGCGGCTACAACCATTATCATCTGCAAATTATGCCGGGCGACAGTCATAGCAAAGAGATGAAGCACTTTTGAAATATGGGGAAAGCGAAAAACTGCGCTTCCTCCACTTCCGTAACATTGATTCATTAATGTTGAATTCTCTCGCAGCTGCTCTATTCCCATGTTGTTGCAGTATATTAATAACTAACCTCGTATTGTGGATGAATAATCTCAGTTGTTCTCCTGACTGAAGTTTGCCCCGTGTAGCATCCTGCTATGCGATTGCATTTGTCCCTGACCACCAGAATCCCTCACGTTAACTTTCGAGTGGAAAGTTGGCGTTTATCCTCCAGCTTCACTGTGCTAATGTTATGCTAACATAGCTGTGTAGCAATCGCGTAGCACAACATAATATACCAGGTAGTCCAACTTCAATAACCCTGCAAACGGCACTGCTGTTTAGTTTTCTGTCTTCATTTATGTTGGAAGTCGTAGCAGAGCTGTACGTTTTAATTAGTTTCAAAAATCTCCCAGTCAGAACATGGTATGAAATGTTTAGGTGGAAACTAGCGAGCTAACTTCCTGTTAACTTCTAACTCCGTTAAATTTAATAAATTCTGTTTTCATGGATGCCTGGATGTTAAACTTAATTGTTACACCTGGTAAAGCAGCAACACTGATGATTTTATTAAAGATGAAAGAATTTAGACCGTTTTTAACTCTCTGTGTTCGTTTGACTTTGGGACCTGAAACAGAAGAAGTTTTGGACCCAGATTACTCCGCGATGCTCCTCACTACGGCAGCCGTAATGCTCTGACAATCCATCAAGCAGTGCAGCTTACCAAAGTTGTACTAAAACATTTTTTAACAGATTTCTGCACACCAAAATTGGTTCGAGGTCCTTAAGCACAACCAGAATTCATACATAAGGCACACTCTTGATTTTTGAGAAAATTAAAGGATTTTAAGTGCACCTTATAGTGTGGAAAATACGTTATACAGAAGAAAATAATATATCGCGATATATATCGTCACGTGCTTCAAATTATACCACGATATGGATTTCAGGCCATATCGCCCAGCCCTATGTACTTCTATACATTTTACATCAGATGAAAACTTTGGTTGAAAGATTCAGATAATTATTTATTAAAAGCTAGATATTTTAAATGATAATAAGAAAGAAAATGATTTCTTTGTGCCCCCCTTTCCCTGTTAATGCCCTATCGGCCCCCCTGGAAAAACTTTGCTAGATCCGCCCCTGCACAGTTACCAGCCGTCAGCTACGTAGAAAAGGATCCTGATGTAGAAAGTAATAATAAATAAATTATAACAACAGCTTATCAAGATTAAACGTGGTGTTAATTGTTTATCTGCTGGTTTTCTGGTGCAAAGTGGGCAATAAACAAAAAAGAGACGAGACTAATGACAGAAAAGCCGATCAGCTGATCATTGATCAGTTTCATGATTGAAGTAGCAACAGGTGAGGGAGGGGGAGAGAAAAAGAGACAGTCGGTCCATATATCGGTTGGTAAGCTTAACGTGGGAAGGCTTTACAAACATTCAGAGATAAACTTACACACTTGCTTTACTTCTCTGGGATACCTTTCTCTGAGATGAAATGGCGGTTTGGTAGCAAGGCTCCAAATGCTCAACCAGACCGCCAACAGGTCTCGCACGCCACAGCCGCTCTATCACATGACACATACTCCTCCAACGTGCTAAGGTCATAAGCTGGGTTACACTATGTTGCAAGTTTTGTGAGGTGCTTTTGTGATAGTTAATGGATCGGATTACATTTTTTATTTCTCTCCAATATTCGATCCAGTAATTTAGGTCAGTATCGGACCGATACTGATACGTAATATCGGATCGGTCCATCCCTAGTATAAGATATCTATTTTTTCTGCTGATCAAACAGGAAAGTCAAACTGTAACGTGCGGGCTAATCAGACAGTTTTATTTTTAGATTGGAAACCGAACAGGCTTACAATGAAAGTAGAAAACTGGAAACCAGGAAGACAAAATAATGATTCAGCAATGTACAAAGCTGGGAACTAATACATTTATAACTGTTTTCTAAAGGATCATTTAATGCCATTACAGGCAAGCTAAAGTCTAGCTATCGCTTCATCATTCTAACAGCAAAAGTAAAAATCACAATGAGCCCTGGATGCTCATTAAACTTGTAACCATAGACAATAATGTGTGAATGTCTCTGAGCAGTTTGTAAATTCATCTTTTGGGTAACTGCTGTTCAGTGATTCCATAATTTAAAACAGTTTAAAACATTAACTGACTGAATCCATGAATCTGAAAATGTGCTTCTGAGTGAAAGAGACAGACATGTACAGACTCTTCAACAGTCAGAGTGTTTCTCTAACAGGAGGAAACTCTTTACACTCAACTCAGCACAGAGTAACTGAGGAACCAGGAAACCAGACTGTAAATCCAGCATAAAGAGGTTCAGTGAATGTGGTGTTGAAGGTGTGGAGGTGGATCAGAGTGTCAGAGGAGACTCTGTAGAAGGACAGAGTGCCAGCAGGATGATCCACATACACTGCTACTCTGTTAGAGACAGAGGAGGAGGAGGATGGGGGGTACAGATATGTTTCTCTGTTACCGTGAACGACAGAGTAACCCTTAACATTAGAAGAAAACAGACTCCAGGACTGATCATTCCTTCCAAACACACAGTCTTTACTGTCTCCTTTTCTTTGGATTGTTCCATAGCTCACCGATATTTGAACCTCTACTTTCCACTCGACCTCCCAGTAACAGCGACCAGTCAGACCATCTATACACAGCAGTTGAAGATACTGGTAATCAAATCTGTCTGGATGATCAGGATATGACTGAACCTCCTCAACATGTGTCACCTTCTTGTTGTTGTCAGACAATTTGAGATTTCTGTGTACTGTGTTTGTGTCGATTGTGAGTTGACAGGAATCTGATGGAGAGAACAAACACAAACCAGCTGCAGTTATTGATCCATCATCTGTTCATTGATTGACACTTTGATAATGACTCCTGACATCAGAGATGTGAATGAGTGATGTGACAGTTTGAAGATGGTTGAATGTGAGCTGCTTTGTTTCATGAATCACATTAAAAACACACTTACACTTCCTCAGACCCGGTCTCAACCATCGGACTCCAGCAGGCTCCACCCTGAAAGAAGGAGGGGGGTCAGACCAGCACAGTCTCTTTCAGCATGCACACATGGACATTACATTGCTCTCATACACATTGTTAAGTTTTTATTTTTTTATTTTTAAATTGCATTATTTAGTTCATTTAAATCAAACGGAGGTTCATTTTCTACGTTGGAACAGTCAAACATTTTGACACATTTAAAGAAAATGTCTCTAAAGTTCCTTCCTCTGGTTGTCATGTAAGTATCTTCAATCGGACCGTTATGTTTTTTTGCTTTTATTACTTCTCTTAAATATAACCTGGTCAAATAAGTTTAGATATTGCATAAGTAATCAGATTTTCAACCTGACATTTTGGTATATTTTATTACTGATTAAATGAATCAAGTGGATGAAATTACTGTTGATTTCAACTGTTCCTGGATAGAAATACACATCGATACAGAAATGATTTAATGCCACTCTGAAGAAAGACTACTAGTTACAGCAGCATACAGGACAGAAAAAAGCGAATTAGAGATATATTAGAAAAGTAAAAACAGAAAAAGGTAAATAATGGGGCTCTATGGGTGTAGGTGACTGGGCAGGACAAAGCTGGCCCTCTTTACCAGTCTACCAGTTTGTGGTTTCAAAACAGTCCCTCAGCGTCTCATTGGGTTCTGTCAGGTCGCATATTTTAACAATTTTGCTGAATTTCTTCAGGGTGAAATGATGTGGATTCAGGCTTTTAGAAATCCACCACACCCCCTCCGACCCGATCTACAGAGCTCACTGCTGATGGTGTTTTATTCACCTTGGGGATGTAGTCTGAAGCAAATGTTGGAAGCTGTGATCTGAAAAGCTGAGTGGGGATGAGGGGTGGCATGGGAATCGATGCGTGGAGTTGCTTATTATCAAGTCAGTCTGATTGACATTTCTAGATTAAATAACTCTGTGAGTTAGTGTAATGTTCATCTGAAGTGAAATTAGTCTGTGGAATTGGAAGGTTTCTTTGTAATGATGTAATTAATTCATAATTCATTAATATTAAGTTGAAATTCATGGGACCACAGGGCCCAGCCTTTGTTCCACATGTGCATCAGTGAGCCTTGGTCACTCATAACCCTGTCACTGATTTACCACTGTTCCCTAGACCACTTTTTATAGATACTGACCACTGCAGACTGGGAACACATAAGAGCTGCAGGTTTGAAAATGCTCTGATCCAGTCATCCAGCCATCACAATTTGGCCATTGTCAAACTCACTCAAATCTTTAAATTTGCCCATTTTTCCTGCTTCTAACTCAATGTTGAGGACAAGGTATTCACTTGCTCCCTAACGTATCCCACCAACTAACAGGTTAGTGTTATTCACTTTAGCTGTTAGTGGTTATGATGTTGTGCCTGATCTGTGTATAAACACAGTATGCAAAATAGACTGTACAATGTGAGTGAAGTTAACACTTTGATTTTCTGTCATTGTTTTCTGAATTACTGTGGACACATGGCACTGTGCATCAACATGATGCACGCCAGTCTTCAACTGAACAGGGCAGAATATTGACCTCAGATCCTCTGCCCTCAAAGAATAGGTATGTTGAATGACACCCTTTTAAGCAAGGGATTTCACAAGCTGGAATACTTTATTCTCCTCTGAACTATTCAACATGTTTTGAGCAGAGAGACTGTCACAGAAAGCAGAGCACAGACTTTTACAGAAGGCATCAAAGGCACAGGTGTTCATGAAACAGTGCTGTCCTTTGCCAAGCTTGACTGGCTGTTGATTATTTCCATTTTTAACAGCCCGAGCTTTACTTCTTTCTTTTTTTACAGCTGGATCTGAGTGGAGCCATTCAGGACCAAGGGAGAAGTATGAAGTAAATTTCCTTTTCTTTGGTGGGATTGTGGGACCTCTCCAGTTTGTAGAGGCCTGGTGTGGATTCTGAAGCTTTACTTTACCATCCTGTCCAGCAACTTCTGCTTCTATTCACAGCAAAGGTCACACACTGGACCTTGTTTTTACTTTGGGTTTAAATATTGATTTTATTTGCTCTGAGGACATTTTTATTTCTGATCACTATGCTGTTGTTTTTAACTTGTCTTTTAATGAGCCTTTGTCCCCCGTTAGACGGATGGTTAGCTCTCGCATCTTAAACTCCTCCACAGCGGAGAAATTTGTGGATGCTTTTAACTTACAGCTATCTCCTCAAAATGGTGTTGATTTCTCAACCAGTCTTTTTAATAATTATTGCCTTTCTATTTTAGATGAAATTTGTCCAGTTAAGATGAGGAGTGTTTCTGCCTCCAAATCTCCTCCTTGGCTAAATGACAGTATTCGTTGTCTAAAACGTGATTGGTGGAGGAAAACTCATCTAAATGTTCACCTCCTCTATCTTAAGGACCTTTTAGCTTCTTTTAATAATGCGATCAGAGATGCGAGGGCTGCCCTTTTCTCACACTTGGTTGCAAAGAGCAGAGGCAATCTTAAGGTGCTATTCAACACCATTAGTGACATCCTGCTCTGCCTGCGGCCCCTATTTTTTCTAACGAGGACTGTGAAAATTTTCTCTCTTTTCTGCTTGCAAAAATTCATAACGTGAGAATGAATTTTACACACTCAGCACCTGTTATCTCGATCTCTACCCCATCTCGGCCCATTATCTTGGATACTTTCTCTCCTGTTTCACTACCTGAGCTGGTAAAATTAGTGAATTCAGTAAAAGCATCCTCCTGTTCACTTGACATTGTACCTGCATCATTATTCAAAAATGTCTTCCAGTCTATTGGCCCATGTTTGCTTACTTTAATCAACTCTTCACTGGCATCTGGTATAGTTCCGGTTTATTTTAAAAACGCTGCTATTCTCCCACTTTTAAAAAAACCTCAGCTAGACCCCTCTCTTTGGAGCAGCTACAGACCTATCTCTAAGTTACTGTTAATTACTAAGCTTCTAGAAAAGGTTGTGGCTAAGCAACTTATGGCAGCTCTAGATAAACATGGCATTTACGATAAGTTTCAGTCCGGTTTTTGTTGATTTCACTCCACGGAGACAGCTCTTCTTAGGGTCTCAAGTGATATCTTGATGAATAATGATGCAGGAAAATGCTCTGTTCTGCCTGTCCAATCTAATGTCTTCTTCTTCCTCATCATTAGAAACAAACAAAGTCTCATCTGCAATTTTTCTTTTGAGATTTGATTAGGACACTTCTGACACAATGGGGTTTTCAAAACTGCTGTTGCCTTCTGTCTCACTTAATACCACAATAGCAATTAGGACCTTTGCTTCCTCCAAGGATTGGAACTTTGATCGCAAGTCTTTTACCTGATGAGGCTTTTTTTCTCAAACAGTCCCACTGGCAAATCATTTTGATGAAGTGTGCCACATCCACTCCGATGAAACATAGTGGTAGTTTGTGGGATTTTTTTTAGGATTTATTGCACTAGCTCACGTGGTTGCAGTGCTACTGGGATTTAAAAATAGTTACGCAAAACGGAGCGTGCCCGCTCTGACCGGTTTTAAAGGGTTAATGTAGCTCTTCAAATCTGAATGATGTGTTAAAGCCTTCACTAAAGCACCAAGTAAAGTTAAAGAGAAATCACAAATGGCTTCTTTTGGGATTGATGCTCCAGCACGAATCCATTCTGATAACCATCTTGTGATTGCCTGGACATCATGTCTCTCTGACAACATTTGCACCACTGGGATGTGAGAGTTGTCGCTTCCTGTTAAAACACCTTGATATAGGAAGATATTTCCAGACAAACCATTAGGCCTGAGAAGCTTTTTTACAACTCAGCCAGTTGCATCAAAGGCAACTATGGGGTGCTTCACCGTCTTGTACATTAGCATTTGAGTTTGACTCCAGTAGTGACAGAAGAACTTGTCTAATCTAATGTCTCCAATGCTTCCACTGTGAGAAGAACTATATTTTAATGAGTGGAGTGACAGTATTGGATTTTTATGAGCCACTTCTAGTTGATTTTGTTTGTGGTAGATGGCTTGGATCTGGATCACCAGCGTCCATCAGCTTTGCTGCCTCTGATGCTCTCCACACATGGGGCTGCAAAGTTCACAAAGTTATTTTGTTACTTCTGCCCACAGACTTCTGGACATGGCTCTCTTAGAAAAGCCAGTGTGCAGTGTGCATCTGTGTTTGGCATTACACACTTCAGCACCATTGGGCAGTGAATTTCAGGTTCTGTCGGACTTTTATGAAACAAGATACAGTTGTGGGGTTCACCTTGGCTCGTTTAAAAGTAATGGTGCATGTACTTTTAATCTCTTTCCAGATTCCCTGGCTTACTACATGAGTCCATGTACCTGGCTTCAAAATGGCATACTTCCTTTTTTTTTTGAAAGTATTCTTTTTGTATGTGACTTCATCTGGAATCATATGTATCCACTGTTCAAATGGGAGCTCCACATTGAAAGTCTTGCAGTCTTTGTTTTGAAAAGGAGAGCTACTTGGCTCAAAAGCATTGTCATTGTCATTGCTGTCTGTGTCAGTCTCCTTTCATTACTGTAATCCAGAGCAGACCATACAGTGTGTCTGTTTAATTTAACAAAAGTGTAAAGTGCTATTGGTGTCATCTTCTTTGCACAGATTTTGCCCTATTTCATCACTTGGAGTTGAAATGTTTCATTTTTTTTTTTTTTTGACTGCTTCTTTTGAAGCACAAAGGACTTCCAACACTGCAGTTTTGTTCACCACTGATTTCTTTGGCATCTGTTAAGCAAAATTTAAAAAATATATTATATTACTGCTTTAATTTGGTTATAACTGTAGTTCAAATAATTAAGTGAAAATAAAATTACTTACTTTAATGCACTGCTTTGAAATAGTGAACTGAAGTGTTGATGATTGCTGTTGATCATGATATCTAACTTAATATGGCTTCTGTGCCAATTTTAAATTCCTGTTTTGTTCAGTTTGTTCAGTTCTGTTTATTTTATTTAATTTAACTTTTTATTTTTATGTTGCTTTAAATAACATTATTCTATGTTGTGCACTAATTTAGAAAAACACTGCCTTTTGTTCATAAAAAGTGCTATGACTAAAAACTTTTTTTTTTTTTAAATTCTGCAAGCTTGCATGCTCTAAAATGTACAGAAAAAATGCCTGGTGGTTGTCAGGTTCTACCACAGTTTTGATTATAAACTTTTTCTAATGATTTATTTTTGATCAAGCCAGGCTGAAGGTTTCCCCTGCGTACCGTCTTTCTGCTAGGATAAACAGGCCGTAAACCTGTCTCTATACAAAGAATACAGAAATACTGAAAATGAGTTAATAGTTAAACCTACAGAGATCAAAATGATGAATAAATGGTGCCCACCTACATAAATACCTCTTGTTATTGTTCAGTTAGACTGGTGTTTTTGTTGTAAGCTGTCAGGGGTTGCTGAGTGGATGTGGAGAAGAGGACTGAAACGCAGGACTCACGGTGAAGATTCAGGGTGTTTATTGTGAGGGATGAATGACGAAAACAGGAGATGGCTGGCTGACTGACTGAATAACTGAATGAATGGCTGACTGATCTGAACTTGGAAGGCAAACATGGGGCATAGACAGCAGTGACAACATCAATGACGTGACGCCGACCAGGAGAGAACTGAGGACTTAAATACACTGGCTGAACAATGACTGATAGGTAACAGGTGAGTGAGCAGCTGAACACAATTGAACTAACGATGCATGGAATAAGAACTAGAACATAATGCACACAGAGTAACGCTAACACAAAACAGTTAGTGGAACGTACAGAGGATAAACAGTGAACATGAACTGAAAATACTGGGTCAACGACCCAGGAACCCTGACATAAGCAAAGGAAAGATTGTTCTCAGTGTATTATTGTCCATGTCACATCTACATGAAACAAACAAGAGCTGAGTGAAGTACACAGAAAATGTTTCCAGCTCTTTCTCCTCTATCAGATATTCTTTCCATACCTGAGAGTGTCCAGTCTCAAGTGTAGATCCTTTAGCAGATTCATTCCTGAGTCTCCAGGATGATTGTAGCTCAGGTCCAGCTCTCTCAGATTTGAGGGGTTGGAGCTCAGAGCTGAAGCTATAGAAGTACAGCCATCCTCTGTGATCAGACAGCCTGAAAGACTGCAGACACACAAAATAACAATCCATCTGTGAACACTTTATTTTAAATGTTTTTTAGTTTTTCTAAAAAACATATCCATATTCATTTTCATCCATTAAATCAATGTATCTTTATTTATAGTGACCACATGCAACAGACAACAACAGCTGTTTCAAGTTGTTAAATTGTGTAAGGCGTTTATTCTAGCATGGCTAAAATGTGGTTCAGTCACCTGATCCAGTCCTAACTGTAGGCTATAAGTATAAAGGGCGTCTTTTTTCTGAACTTCTGGTTCCATAGAAGAGAGATCTCTATCCTAGTTATACAAACTAGTTATACAAACTCTAACAGCCATAAGTAAGTCTGCAGTCTTAGTGTCAAGTGCTCTATTTGAATGGATAAAGTAAGTACTGAACACAGCACCAATTTTCTAAGTAAATTTATTTCTAAAGGTGCTATTGGCATGAAATTCTCAAAAGATATGTGTAATAACCCATCCAATCCACACTTGCAAAGAAATTAAACCATAGATGTCCTTAAATTAAGTTTTGTGTAATAAACTTAATTTTAGGACACAGGAAAAATGTTTTCTAGTGTTGAAAATTTTAGTAAGAGTTCTTCTTCTTTCTTTTTTTTTGTCTAAAAGCTTTTGTTGGCGGTGACAACTTCAAGATGCCTCCTGTATGGAGAAATTAGTCACATACATCGCTCAGGTGTGGTTCTTCATCAAAAATAATCTTCAAATCTGGAAGGCTTTTTTCTACGAACTCTGACCTTTAGATCTTGCTATAGATTTTCAGTTGGATTCAGTTTGGGTGATTGGCTGGGCCAATCTTTACTTTCTTTCTCTGAAAACAATTGAGAGTTTCCTTGACTGAAACATCCACCCTCATTTCATTTTCATCATCCTGGTAGATGGCAACAGATTTTTATCAAGAATGTCTCGTTGCATTTTTCCAAACATCCTTCCTTCAAGTATATGAAGCATGCAAATGCCCTGTGCTGAAAAATACCAATACACTATGATGTTCCCACATCCAAACGTCACTGCTGGTGTTTTGGGGGTGAAATGCAGTGAAATACTATGGCATCCAAAGATTTTAATTTAGGTCCAATCTGAACAGACTATATTCTCCTAGTATTTCACAGGCTTGTCCAAATATTTTTCAGCAAACTTTAAATAATGGTGTTTCTTCAGTAATGGAGTCTTGCATGATCAGAGTGCTAATAGGCCATGGTGGTTGAGTGAATTACTTATACTTTTCTTAGCAACAATTATACCTGCTGTTTCCAGGTCTTTCAGTAGCTCCTCACAAGTGGTTCTTCGATCTTGGATAATTCTTTTCACTTGTCTGTCTGGCATTTGTGGGGAGCACCTTGTCATTGTAAGTTTATTTTGAAATTATGTTCTTTCTACTTCTGGATTATGACGCCAACAGAGCTCACTGGACCCTTCAGTAGTTCAGAAATTCTTCCTTAGCCTATACCATCAGTATGCTTTGCAGCAATTGTGAAGGTCTTGAGAGATCTCATCAGTTATACACATAGTGATATTTTTCTTGTGTGACACCTTGGTTATGAGACACATGGGCCATCAGTTCTGACCATGACAAATCATATTAATTTGCACTGAGTGGAAAGATTGCTTTCTAATTACCATGATGTTCCATGCCTTTTTACACCTCCTTTGCTTCATGTATTCAATACTTTTTCCCTGTATCATTTCTCATTGTCACACATAATTAATGGCCATCTATGGTTTGATTTCTTTGTTACTGACATCTGGTGATAATTTCATGTCAACAGCACCAAATAGAAATATATTTACTTAGAAAGTTGGTGATGTGTTAATGCTTATTTTTGCTGTTGTAAATGAGAAGAAGTTGTTGCTCTGGATATAGCAGGAAGCCACTGATGAAAAGTCAATATGGATGAAATATGATCTCTCTCTTTCTAGTCACTCTTAGTACTCCCACTGGAAGGTTTTGCTTAAGCTAAAGACTCTTCAGGGAGCTTTTAAAGCAGTTTAACCTCAAAGCAATAAATGCTACCCATCAGCACTACTCTGAGACTTTGTTTCTAATTCTAGAAACATTAAATAGAGCAATTCCAGTTATTTGTTAAATGTGCACATCAAAGAACATATCATTAAAAAAGTGTATTAGAGTTTCATGACAGTGTTACCAGAAGCTGAGGTAATGCCATCTAGAATAAGTATAAATTAAAAATCAAAAATTAATACATTCTTAAACATCAAGTTAAAGGTAGTCACCCTCGTACTAAATACTCATTCAATTTCAGATTTTTATTTTTCGGTTGTAACTTCAGTAACGATTTCAAACTATTCCAAAGGCAATAAGTTCAATTCAATTCAATTCAATTCAATTCAATTCAATTCAATTTTATTTATATAGCACCAAATCACAACAAAAGTAGCCTCAAGGCGCTTATAAGTTAAACCCTTGTGAGCTCAGAAAACAATTTATGATTATTTGACTTAAAATGATATCGGAACAGGCCTTGCATTATCATAAAAAGGCTGACTGGATATATTACTTTGATTTGTAGACTGTGGCAAACTTGCGACAAAAATAATTAGGCCCAGAGAACAGTTAATATTTGATGTGTTTGTGATGTTCGTTTTATATTTAAGGTAAAGGGGTTGCAATTATAGGGAACAACTCGGAGTTAGCATTAGTGTAGGATGTGTTGGCTGCAATGGATTGTGAAAGTCAAGAATAAATGTACTTATAGGACTAAGGAATAAGAAGGAAACTTTGAAATGAATTAGTCTTCGTTTATTAATATGGGTTCTGCTCAGTGTTTAACTCAGTCTAATCCTCATGTGTTATCCATCCATGAGGTTTCAATACTATTAACAAGACAATCTACCTGTGTGAAAGTAAAGTTTAGGTAGCATCTATAAATTGTGGTGACACATGGCATCGAAGAAAAACAAAGTCAAATCACTTGCATCTAATTGAGATTTGCAGGGCGTGAAGTGTATCACAGTTGACATTAATTGCTGTGACATTAAATTCCCAATACTCTCATTTTGAGAAATCAACCTTTGAAAGTCCATCCATCTATTCGCTTCTGCTTATTCTGTTCAGGGTCGTGGGGGGTGGATGGGGCCTAGCCCAGCCGTCTTAGGGCGAGAGGCGGGGTTCACCCTGGACAGGTCACCAGTCTGTCACAGGGCTAACACATAGACATAGACAACCATTTGCACTCACATTCACTCCCACATTCACACCTATGAGCAATTTTCAAATTAACCTATCCCCACTAAGTGAATGTCTATGGACTGTAGGAGGAAGCTGGAGGACCCAGGGAGAACATGCAAACTCCACACAGAAAGACTTTGAAAATATATATTTTAAAATTCCAGAAACTTTTGTTGCAAAGAGTGAAAAGAGTAAAAAATAGAAATACACCTCGACATGTAATTCTCTGGATTTAAACTAGCCTGGTAACTGGTGTATATTCAAACCAGTGTCATGCATATCAGTAATTGTTACCAGTTCAAAAACAAAAGAATTTGAAGAAGAAAAACCTTTTCAGACAATAATCAAACCAAATTAAATTCAAAGTGACTAAAGAATTCTGTACAGGTAGTGGCTTATGCACTACTATGGTTCAGATTTTAAGTGGTAATCAGTGTAAAAGTCTGAAACCTGACCTGAGAGTTTCCAGTTTCCAGTATGGACTCTTGAGGCCAACAGACAAAAGCTTCACTCCTGAATCCCGCAAGTTGTTGTTACTCAGGTCCAGCTCTCTCAGACTAACGGGCAGGGAACTGAGAAGTGAGGACAGAGCATCACAGCTTTTCTCTGAGAGGTCACAGCCACTCAGTCTGAAAAACAATGATAATAGTGGTTAAATTAAATCATTTAATATTGCACATATTAAAGGAAAACAGAGTGTGCACTACAGTTCTTGGTTATTTAAAATAAATTAAAACATGTCTCAAATTTGTCAAAAATAAAACACCTTAAATTCGCCCAGTAAAAACACAACTATGCCTATATAATTAAATCTAAACCAGTGAGGAGCTGGTAGATTTAGTCATACTTGTGTAATACCCACTGGCACAGGCACACTAGGCACAGTCTGTGTTTTGTTTTGTTTTTTTCTTTCTTTTTGTTCAGGTAAGTAGAATAAACATTTTAAACAGACACAGATGAGTCCATTTTACTTACAGAGCTTTGTTGGAGGCTTTGACCACAGGCAGCAGCCTTAGAAGAGCCTTCTCTGAAGCAGAGTATTTCTTCAGGTCAAACACATTCATATCTTTTTCTGATGACAATAAGATGAAGACCAGAGCTGACCACTGAGCAGGAGACAGTTTATCTGCAGAGAGATGTCCCGATCTCAGAGACTGTTGGATCTCCTCCACTAGAGAACAATCATTCAGTTCATTTAAACAGTGGAACAGATTGATATTTTTCTCTGCAGATAGATTCTCACTGAGCTTGTTCTTGATATACTGAACTGTTCCCTGATTGGTCTGTGAGCCACGTTCTGTCTGTGTCAGCAGGCCTTGTAGGAGAGTCTGATTGGTCTGAATTGAAAGACCCACAAGAAAACGGAGGAACAAGTCCAAGTGTCCATTTGGACTCTGTAAGGCCTTATCCACAGCACTCTCATAGAAGTATTCATCTGTTTCACACTGATGCGATGATTTTTGTTGCTCGTCCAGCAGATTAACTCCAGAGTTAATAAATGTCAGGTGGACATGAAGAGCAGCCAGAAACTCCTGAACACTGAGATGAACAAAGCAGAACACCTTATTCTGGTACAGTCCTCTCTCCTCTATAAAGATCTGTGTGAACACTCCTGAGTACACTGAGGCTGCTGTGATATCGATGCCACACTCCGTCAGGTCTGATTCATAAAAGATCAGGTTTCCTTTCTTCAGCTGCTCAAAAGCCAGTTTTCCCAGAGATTCAATCATCTTCCTACTCTCTGGACTCCAGTGTGGATCTGTCTCAGATCCTCCATCATACTTGACTTTTTTCACTTTGACCTGAACCACCAGGAAGTGGATGTACATCTGAGTGAGGGTCTTGGGCAGCTCTCCTTTCTCTTTGGTTTTCAGCACATCCTCCAGAACTGTAGCAGTGATCCAGCAGAAGACTGGGATGTGACACATGATGTGGACACTTCTTGATGTCTTGATGTGAGAGAATATCCTGCTGGCTTGCTGTTCATCTCTGAATCTTTTCCTGAAGTACTCCTCCTTCCGTGAGTCATTGAACCCCCTGATCTCTGTTACAATGTCAACACATTCTGGAGGGATCTGATTGGCTGCTGCAGGTCGTGTGGTTATCCAGAGGCGAGCAGAGGGAAGCAGGTTCCCCCTAATGAGGTTAATCAACAGCACATCCACCGTGGTGGACTTTCTAGGGTCAGTTAAGATTGTAGCTTTGTGGAAGTCCAGAGGAAGTCGACACTCATCCAGACTATCTAAGATAAAAACAACCTGGAAGTCTTCAAAGCTGCAGATTCCTGCTTCTTTGGTTTCAGTAAAAAAGTGATGAACAAGTTCCACCAAGCTGAACTTTTCCTCTTTAAGCACATTCAGCTCTCTGAAAGTGAATGGAAATATGAGCTGGATGTCCTGGTTGGCTTTGTCTTCAGCCCAGTCCAGAGTGAACTTCTGTGTTAGGACTGTTTTCCCAATGCCAGCCACTCCCTTTGTCATCACTGTCCTGACTGGTTGTTCTCTTCCAAATGAGGCTTTAAAGATGTCTTCTTGTCTGATTGTTGTTTCTGGTCTGTCTGGTTTCCTGGATGCTGTTTCAATCTGTCTGACCTCATGTTCTTCATTGACCTCTGCAGTCTCTCCCTCTGTGATGTAGAGCTCTGTGTAGATCTGATTCAGAAGAGTTGGGTTTCCTGCTCTAGCAACCCCCTCAAACACACACTGGAACTTATTCTTCAGAGAAGATTTGAGTTCATGTCGAAAATCTGCAGCAAATATTTCTGAACACACACAATAAATACATTTAATTATGGAATTATTATTTAGTAAATACGCTTACATTTTTCTTGCCTAAAGAATTGGTTTTTGAATCTATGTTTGTCCATTTCTTGAGACATTCCTAAATTTCCCATTTATGCAGCAGCTTAAATCTTTAAAGACATCCTCTTACTGCTCTGCAGACAGTCAGCCAGTTCCTCCTGCTTCAGTTTCCTCAGGAAGTGCAGTGTGATTTTCAAAAATGCTTCTCTGCTGTTTCTGTTCTCATCTTTATCTTCACCCTCCAAGACCTCCTCATCCTCTTTCTGGCTCCCTAAGGATTCTGGGTAATCTGAACTTAGAATTTTCTGGATCTCCTTCAGCTCATTCTTGAAAAAAGTGATGATGTTGTCCTCCAGTAGCTGGAACAGAAGATGATATGAATAATCCAGCCAGACTGAAATCATTGACCAAAACCTCAGATGATGGACACATTAACAATTCAGTGGTCTATAAAGTCCAGAATGGAGTAAACAGAACAGATGTAAGAGCTGTTTTTCTGCATGTACAGACCATAAATACAGAGTCCAAATGTGTCTGATGGTGTTTGGCAGGTTGATCAATGGGAACCATTGAACTCTTCTGGTCCACTCTATAAAGAGTCATAAAGAATTAGTTCACATTATGACTTTCCATACAGAGATAAATACAAGCTAAAGGAAACAAGAGATGCTTTGCTGTTTGTCTTGGTGTCAAACTGAGAATCTTCTCTCTGATATTTGAGAAGATCAGATAAGGTGACAAGTATGAAGAGTTTTGTTTTGGATTTTCTTTATTTTCATTTTTATGTTTCGGACTAGTCAGGTCTTAAATTTTAAAGCCAAAATAATACATTTATCTTAACCCCTCTATGAAGTACATCCCATGAGATGAAGAACTTTGTGAACATTCTTCCCAGAGCTTGTCATCCATCTTCATTATTGTCCTTTTTGATAGGTTTTTGTGGCTGATGTTAACTCAGAGTTAGAAATCATGGCTGTTATGCTTGTCTTAAAGAAAGAAATAATTAATTAATCTACTTGACATTTTTATGACTTAAAAATGGGTTACCCTCCCAAAATAAACCATATATCTCGCTAATTAGGAATTTCTTTAGTATCAAACAATTTGCACTATCAAAAGAGCCATAACTAATCATAATCACCAGGTGAACCTCTTATAAAATAAAAACTATAAAAACGAAAACTTTCTAAACTAACCATTAGTACTAATTAGCTTGCAAAACAAACACTCTTCTTTAACAGGTGTTCATATAGTAGTATAACATATGATATAAATGTACTTAAAACGTGTAAATAGGTCCGCACAAATCCAGTAAATAGATACAAGCATCTAGCACAATAATTCCCATCTTCATGGCCTTCCAGTGTATTTAGGTCATTTGTGTTAATACAATATGGAAAAAGTACACTCACTATAGAAACACATCCTACAAATACTCATTCTTCAATCTTTGACTGCTGTATTTATGAAAAGAAAAACTCCCAAAACACACAGCTTTACATACGAACATAGAAATGTGTGTGAAAAGAGCTGAGCTGGCATTAAACATAATGTAAACATTTTAAGAAACAGCATTTAGTGACACATTACCTCTCTGCAGCAGAAGAATTTTCTTTGAAATCAACATTAAAGTTCTTTGACTTATCACTTTTTAAGGACATACAGCTGGGTTCAGGTTGATGTTTACGTTTAGTTCCTCGTTTCTTCCTGTGAATAATGATGGAGCAGGGATGTGAGTGCTGAGCTGTGACATGGAGAAGAGTCATGGACAGTTAAAGATGGTCATCTCACCTCTGAGCTGTGGTCTGGCTCTCTCTGGCTCTTTTAGAGGGAGGGACTCCCTCCTCTCTGTCCTCACACTGATCCATGCTGCTAAATTCACATACACATCAGCTCACACACACTTTCTACCTTCACCTGCAGAGGAAACACAAATCATTCATGTGCACATCAACTGAAATCCTCCTTTTCCCTACAGGCCAAACAAGTAACACGCCTTCTAAAGAGCACAGATGGCCACATAAGAACAGTAAAAGTCACAGTGTGGGATAAAACGTATACAAAAACCTGTAGCATGTCTCATCCCCCTGCCTTCACTTCCTGAAAAGGACTGTTGACTATGGTAATTTAAACATATTTCCAACTAGAAATATGGTGGTGGCTGTTGTAAATATTCTTGTTTTTCTTACCCTTTTTTCCCCACTCTCCTTCAGCTCACCAGATTGACCTTGTTTCCTTTTCTCACCATTGATTGGCTCTGGACTTTGTCCCTTAATTGCACTCACCTGGCACACGTTATATAAGGACTGCACTCACTTACAGCTCACTCATTTCACTCTCACATGGGGTGGGAGCTGAGGTGAGTTTGATTTGGTCTCTTGAGTTTAAGCCTTTATTCTTAAGTTAGTTTAGTGACTTGTAGTCCAACCTTGTTTTCTCATTCAGAGTTTAGCAGTCCATGTGAGTCTTCCTTTAAGTTGAGTTACCACTGATTACAATTCAATCAACTGAAATATACTTAAAAAGATTGATGGCTGTTTGTTTCACATTCTGACCAGATGGTGATAACAACCTCAAACTTCCTTTGAATCTCTTCACTAGCACAATAATGAACTCCTCCATAAATCAATCTGGCCATCAAAATCAAACTGGAATCCGTCACGTGCACCAGTGTCTCATATCACATCTCCAGTTTTATAGTTTGACTATGAGCCCAGCTTCAGAGTCAAAGTGAAAACTCAGTCCTAATAAACATGTCATCACACTCAAACTTCACTGTTAAAGAGGACTAGACAGTTCTAGATGTGATGTAAAGTGGATGGTGAGAAACATTTCATGATGTTGAAGCTAACCTGCAGTCTTCTGATTAAGACACTCAGACAGTTATTCTGATGTGAGGAGAATACATCTCTACCTACAGACTCTACAAATATCAGCTCACAGACTTTTAGAGTTTATTGTTGGAGGAACTTTGTGGTTTGATTGCCAAGACACTAAAGATGAAATAAATCTGTTCTCTACATAAACACGCTAACAAAACCTCAGAGAATCAATTAATCAAACTTCTGTTCTGAAATTCCACTTTCACAACAAAAGCTGCAGCTGCAGATGTTACTGAGGTTTTATCAGAGACAAAGCAATCAAAATAATCCTGAATTAACATCTATGGAAGATTTCTATGAAAATAAATGAATAATGGTGGTAGAAATATAGCCTCCGGGGAAGAATAAAACATCACATTGTGGCAGTTAGCAGAGTTTTTAAATGGTTTTGAGAAAATCAATTATTTATTTATTTAATGCAAGTTGCTCATGATTCTATACATGCACATTTTGTGATTATTGAAACAGAAGTTTATTTAGATGAGGATAATAAATTAGTTTTCATTAACAGAACATAACAATGACATCTTTCTAGTTTTATCATTATCCCTATTACCGCACATTATCAGCAATGAGTGAGACAGGCTATTTAATTTTACCTTTTATTTATTACTGATTTTCTGTCCACACCTTACATGTCACATATGTGATCATTCACACTACCTGGTCTCCCTCACAGTCTGTTAGTATTTCATGTCTTGTTTGTAGGCACTATAGAACTGGTGTAGCTCGTATCAGTGGGACTACAACTGATTATGTAGTTGTGAGGGACTAACTACAGCAGGACTGCAGTGAATCCCTCAAAGCCTCCATAAATCCATCCTGCAGTATCACTGTAGACTGACAAGCAGCACTCAGGGGGAACCAGCAGGGGGTGCTCACTGATTCCTGTTAAATATTATCCACGAAATATGGAGAATATTTAACACATGAATATGAACCTTGATGCCCATAAAACAACTTGAGTATCAGTCAGACTGGAGTCCAGCATTTGAACCATCTGAACTCAAATCAGAGCTCGTTTTATAGTTTATAGTTTGATTTGTGAGCCTCTATCTAATCTGTTCAGAGTTCACAGGAATACTGAGTCTTACTAAATATCACATTACAGTCTGATCTCCTCTGTTAAAGAGGCTCAAACAGTGGCAGATGTGATATGAAATACAGAATGAGAAACATTTAATGAAGCTGGTAAAAACCTGCAGCCATCTGAAGACACTGACACAGACTGTTCGCCTGAAGAGAAGAGAGTAAACCAAATATCTACTTGTAAATTTTGTCAAGTTTATATTCAAGGCACATTATGGTTTTGAGTCTTTATCCAATGTATCACAGTCCTCATCAGTTTTCTGCATAAACACACTAACAAAGAGCAGCAGCTGATTTGTGATGAAGACAAAACCTGAGAGACAATAATGAATCAAAGTTTCACTTACTCAGCTACTTCCAGTGAACTTCTTCACTCTTTGGTTCTCCACTGTGTGGACCACATCTGTTTAGAAAAACAGAAAATCCTGTGCTTCTTCTCTGTGATCTGGCTGCCGCCACATTGAACACTTTAAATCATAAAAGAGTCTTAAGATGCATCTCAGAGCTCAAAGATCAACTGCTCCACCTTAATATGTCTTTAAACTTATCAATGATTACAACAACAGCAAGAACTTCCTGCTGTGACTCTGATGCTGTAAAACAAACAGACACAGACACACCCAGCCTGCTTGCTTTATTTGAAATAATGAACATTTGTACTGCAAAGGTTGAAATATTAACAAATCTGTTTACAGACTACTTCTTCCAGTTAGTACAGATACCAGCATTACTTCAGACATCTGGAAGGAATCATGTTGGATTAATATAAGTAATAAATAATGGATGAATCTGACTATTTTTGAAAGAAAAGTGTTCCTGCAAACAAAAACAACAACAACAACAACAAAACCCTAGATACTGGGCAGTGAAATGTGCTGCCCAGTATCAGAGAGCTTTGTCTCAGTCACAGGTCACAGATCCTCCAAAAGGATGATGAACCAAAACAGGGCTAAAAACTGAAACATGATTGTGCTGAACCACAATTAGTACATTTTCAGTAAATTTTTAACTATTTCTAGTTTTGTCAGTTTTAAGGCAGCATGGTGGCTCACTGTTGCCTCACAGTGTGAACATCCTGAGTTCAACTCCACCACCAGTTCAGGGCCTTTCTGTGTGGAGTTTGCTTTTTTTTTTTTCCTCCCACAGTCCAAAGACATGCAGCTAGTGGGGTTAGGTTAACTGATGATTCCAAATGCCCATAGATGTGAGTGTGAATGACTGTCTGTCTGTTTGTGTTAGCCATATGACAGACTGGCGACCTGTTATAAGTTGCTCAGAACAAAAACCATAATCTGAGCAAAAAAAAAAAACAATATAAATATATATATATATATATATATATATTAATGGGCATTATGATGGTGTAGCAGAGAAGAATGTAGTCATGACAGAGCTGCTGACTTTACAAAGTAAGGTAAACCTATATTATAGGAAGTATATGAAGAGATTAAACTGATAATGCAAGCTAAAAATAAGACACATGTATGACTGTGTGTGACAGGAAAAGTAGTGAACAGAAGTTTACAATTAAAAGTGCGGCATGTTTGAAAAAGTTTGGTCAGTGAGACTGAAAAATAGCTGCATAAGTTACCATTGGGAACATACCCCTGTAAGAACCCTGACATTACCTGGATAAGATCAAATCCTGCTTCGTAGTGCAGACCTCAGTAATTGGACGCGGTCCAGTTGGATTCTTATATGTTGTGAGTAGAAGGACTAAGAAGGACTGGTGTTTCCCAGTCTGCAGTCTGCCTGCAGAAAATGAACCAATGGAACAAATTGAAGCTGATTATTTCACACACATATTTCAGCTCACAGCTTTAAAATTACAACATTAAACCATTGTTACTACAGAGAAATCTATCATAATTTTTAAAAACACTTTGATTTAATACATTTCTGAGAAAGATCAACAAAGATTCATGAAAAGGACTCCGATTTATTCACAGATTAATTATTTATCACTGGAAACATTCTTCATGTGATCATGATTCTGTTTGCCTGTAAACGTAGTTCACGTTAACATCAATCTTTTTTAAATTTAATGTTTTAGCAACATTTTATCTGTACTTAAGAGTTTTGAATATTTCCGTGTAAAATGCTGTCATAGCACATCCAGACTCTCTGTAGATGTTCAACAACTCCCCGAAAATATATTCAGTGATGTTTGGAAGCAGTCATGTAGGGAAAAAGCTGCCCTGATGTCCACAAACTCAGTATTTCTAGATATGTATAGATCTTACCGAGATCACCGGCTCTGTCTCTACTTTGATGACAGACTGATGACATCAGCACTCATGCTGAACACAGACTGTGGGGAACTGATGAACTGATGTCTAACTGGGACTTTAATGTCACAAACTTGTGTAGATTAATTGTACTCTGATATCAGCTTTAGGAATAAGGTAATGATTTACAGACAGCTGCTTCAGGCTCCCCTGGGCTTGTCAGTGAGAAAGTCAGTAACAATTGTGATTGATATGTAATCAGCTTTAAATTATTATGTTTAAATTTAATAAAGTTTAATAAACAATAAAAGTTCATAAAAACTTTTGGTCCAGTCAGTCTCTGAGTAAGACCACTCTTCTGTGGGTGTAAACAGTGAACAATAGCCTACTTCCTGTTAGAACAGAGCCAGAGGTTTGTGACGCAGTATTTGTATTTCGAGGTTTATGTCGAATTTTTGTTACATCTATATTAAATAATAATTTACACAGACCTGTCCCTCTATCCTCTGAGTTAAGCTGCTGACCATCAACTAACTGTTTCTGCTCTCATTCCCGGACTCTGATCACACACACAGAAAATGACGAACAGGTTACCAGTCGCTTTGTTCGTGAGTCCGTTACTGTGAACTATGCAGCAGCAGATTTGTGCTGTTTGTGCTGGAACTAAGCTGCACACAGCTGATGTTAACTTAAAAAACAAAACAAAACAAAAAAACCCATCACAGACTGCTTTCATTACCTTCACATGGATACTCACACCGACAAGATCATCTGCGACACCAAGTTCAGGAAAACGAAAGTGAAACTTTAATAAAAAGAAGAAAAAAAACTGGGACAGGACGGGTTTGTGAGAAAGCTGGTGCTCGGAAACACAAGTTTAGAATCACTTCCTTTGTTTAGGAATAAAAATTTAAATGTTTGTTGGAGGGTTTAAAGAAGCTGAATCATTTTGTGTGACAGTTAAAGTCAAACACTTGTAGAGAGAGACTGTCTCTGCTGATCAAACAGGTCTCACTGTAATGTCTCTTTAGTCAGAATCCGTCTCTGCTACATTACTGACCGAAAGCTGTCACATTCTGTAATGTGAATGCAGATACAGCTTACACTAGATATACTCTTGTTTTAATACTCTGCTGAAGGAATACATTTTCTATCTGCAACCTGTTGAGTCGTATCTGACAGAGAAGGAAGCAGTGCAATAAAGCTGACATCACAGTTTTTCTTATCTGCAGCAAAATAACTGCAGGCAGTAGCGGTTTTTGATACGGGCGACACGGGCGGCATCATGGTGGGGGGCGGCATCACGGGCATCAGCAAAAAGAAAAAAAATAATAAAAATTGCTCATTATCATGCTGCCCCGACGTCATGCCAGCGCATATTGGGAATGGCATAGGCACCGATCGGTTTTCTATCGCCCATTTGCTGGGAGTAAGGGCGCCCTCCGTTTGCGAGGTGCGCCTGCTGCTTGCGGCACAGGGAGGAGAGGGGCGGCGGGGGATTCTCTGGCTGGCTGGAGCAGCATCTAATAACCAACTCGCATAATAAAAACAAACCAAGGAACACCGATGTTTTTTCGAAATTCTGTACTCGAAAAGTGAGCGCGAGAGCCCTCGGTGCGCCTGCTTGCTGCTGAAGTCAAAGTAAAACTTTATTGTCATCTCCGCTACATACAGTACAGAATATAGAGAGACGAGAAGACGAGGCTCCAGTTACAGCAGTGCAAGTAAACAAACAATATATATAAGAAGAGTAAGAAAATAAATATGCACTTTAGGACCAGGGATAAAGGGATCAATAACAATTTAAAATGTATATTTTACAGTTTGATGATTTAAAGTCTCACAAACAACCTGTCGAAAGGGGAGGGGGGGCTGGCTGCTTCCAAATAGAGCACATTTCATTCATAATATTGTAAATCCAAGTCCATTATGTATTCATGATTTGAATCCTGGGTTGTGTGAAATCCCAGAAATACACCCTAGACAAAGTGAATCTGTGAACTAAGGTGTAGGTCTATTAGGTTATATTGTGGCAATCCTCGAGTTGGGGGATTTGTGTTCATACTGGAGTCCAAAATTAAAACCAATGGAAGATGGACAAGAAAAGTTCAAAGCCATCAGGTGCTCAGCTTAGAAAAAATAGAAAAGAAAAGGAGAAACGAGCAAAAGATGCAGGTAAGCAGATGTGTCATTGGATAATGGCAGGTCATCCTGAAACAATCAGAATCAGAATACTTTATTAATCCCTAAGGAAATTATGTGGGAAACAGGCTAGGACCGCCACTGACTGCAGGCGACATGAACTGAATATTCTCAGCTGAACTGAGCTTCAGAGAAACACAACATACTGATATTCACTGTGAAAGTTTTACAAAGACAGACAAACAACATCTGAATCATAGTGTTGTGGAAGTTTTCCATTTAAAAAAAAGCCTGCAGATGAGCGGTAGCTATGAGACATGCTAATTCCATCTCTTAAAATGTGTCTATAGGTGAGACGCTTTGCCTTGGTTGGAGGGACCACACTGGAGGTGCGAGTCCGCCGTGTAATGGCTTATGCCATTACAAATGAGCTGGCCTCGCTACTGAACTGGGCAGGGAAAAAAACAAAAGACCACACAAAGCAAAAGAGGGCATTTAAAGATACAGTGCTCTGCAAATGCATATTTGGTAAGTTTTACCGGTTTTTTTTGCTATATTACTTTGTCTTTCTTAACAACAAGACTTTCATGTCCGGTTAATCTGGAGATGGAGTCTTTGGTCTTTGGCTTATTTAGTCCTCGGGTTGTAGTTTGTACAGCCCGAAGACCCCATGTTTATTTTGTTTTAAAGGATACACAGCACACTATGCTAAGACTTATCCCTTTTTCCGCTCATAGCTCTTTGAGAATCAAACCCGGCAGTTTGCAGATTTACGCCTGGTGACTTTCTTGTTTATCAGCATAGGAGTTTACATACTTTCTCCCCGCTGAAGACATTTAACAAGAGCTTATTCATGTGCTCTAATCCACTTTTTTTGTTTGTGTGTGTGTATTTTTGTCCTAGATGGCCTGACGCAGCAGTTAGGGGCAAACTCTATGTCAGAGTTTGTCTTTGCACAAGCAGTGCAGAAATGGCTGCGATACGCCCCAGATCGTTTGGGTGGTGCAGGACGCATCCCCATCCCGGAGTAAAAAATGAAAAACTTCTGTAAAACATATAAATTTAAATAGGAAATTGTGTTTTTAATAAAGTATTTAGCAAACAAAACATGCCTATTGACCTTTTTTGTTTATTTTTTTTCTCTGTTACATCACATGCAATGCTTTCTTATTTTAGGATATTAATACATTTTGAGACTTTTTTTTTTTATAAAACACAATTATGTGTTTAGGTGGTTTAAGTATTGATGGAAACATGCAGTAGTTTAGTATTGGTTAAAATACCTATAAAGAAAGGTAGATTTCCAGTCATGATTTAACTGTTGTTTTAATGAAAAGCAACTGTGCGAAAGAAGTGGAAAATCAACACCATAGCTCAACAGTGTTTCAATATCAGAATCTGACATTGTTTCAATGTCAACAGTATTAGAAAATATAACATTGAATCAATGTCAGGTTTCAACATTGATTCAACATCAAAACCTGACGTTGTTTCAATGTTAAAAAAGGGTGCAAGAGTGACGTTAGATCAACGTCACACTTCAACATTGATTCAATGATGTCGCCTGATATTGACTCAACATTGTTTCAATGTTTCCTTGCTATCTGGGTAACATTCTTTAATCCAAACACACAAAGAACAGAAAACCAAACTTTTGGAGAGCCTACATGACCGCGGGGCAGACGGTCAGCAGAGTCTCTCTGAGCCTAACATGGCTCTCAGTTAAATACCTTCTCCAGGAACAAAAGGCAGTACACAGCTGTTTCACACCTTAAGGTTCACACTCCCTTGCTACCTCCCAGAGTCCTCAAAGAGACAAAAGACTCTTCCTGTAGTCCTTCCTGTGGTCTGCTTCCCCCAACTTCCTTACTACACCCCCACCATTTGTCTTACAGTATGGGTGTCAGACATGTTAAAATCCAGTGGCACCAAGGCATTATACAATAAAATGTGATTAATACATAAGTAAAAGAAATTCCTATACAATCCCACCCTTTGATTCTTAAATCAAGAATCACATTAATACCAGAATTTCTTTCCTGACATTCTGTATATCACATCAACATTATTGTACACTTAGGAGTTTCACACTGTGTATCCTCACTTCACTGTTCTCTCACCACCCTTTGTTCATCTTTAATCTTCCCCACAATCTAAGCTGTCACATGAAAATGGAAACAATAATGATACAGAGGAAAGGCCTTTTCCAGAGTGTCAAAGTACTTTGCATGGCAAAGTGAAACAGCATTAGGTGGTCATTCTCAGTCACAGTCATGGCTCCTGGTGTCTGTGCCGTTTACAGAGTCATAATTCCAACGCTGATCTTCCTTGCGCTGTCACTTTTGGAGCTTGGCATGCTCTCTTCATCCCTCGATTTCTGTTCCAACGCGGCTGTAGATTTAAGGCAGAGCACGTCGTACACCTTCGTTGTCTTCCCCAATGTCAACGTCGAAATCTCTTTCATTTTATATAAGATTTTGCTGTTCAAAATCTCCTCATGACAATCTTTTGGCAGCCCACTGTCGTTTGTCTGCTGTCCTGCAGATGGTCCCTGCTTCTCACTGGTCCTCTTGAAGCCTTCTCTCCCAGTCATGGTCTGCATCTGCACCTCAGTCTCTCCTTCCATATCCCTCATGTCACGGTCCCTGCAATTTAAAAATAAAAACTTCCCCGGAAAATCCTCTTTTGCCCTATGTCAGCTTATCACAATTAGACATGCACAATAAAGTTGTGCATTGTCTCTTAAAAATTCCCAGGGCTTCTCCCCTGGAGTAGTTTCCCTCCAGGCCCTGTCGTGAGAAAAAACATTAGCCAGTGGTGTGTCCTGCTGTAAATCATGTGATTAGATCCCACAATTAACCCTTTGCTGTGGAAAAAGTGATGTAGATGTTAGCGCAGCGCATCTGTATGCACACTTTCTCACAGTGACCTCTGCACTGTAAACAATACAAGGTCATGAATAACACACTGCTGGTAAATTCACAAAGACACAGAAAGAGGCAATTAAAAGGTTAAGTCAGCACGGCCCAAAAGCCCATGCAACCTGTTGCTGTCACCTTTCTGCTCCTGTAAAAAGAAACATACATACATCCACCCTTTTGTCACTCTTGGTGGAGGTGCAATCTTGCATACTGGTGTCAAGTCAGCCAAAGCTTTTGTCAGTCCAGTCAGTCCCCATTTTTTATTTGCTGACAGTAGAACCTCTCGTGACGCAATGAGTTTCTACTGCCAGCAATGATGTCATTTCAAAAAAGAAAAATAATTTAGACTGGATTACCTCGCTGAATCCGTTTTGGCAGGGACTTGTTTTCTGATTGTCCCAAATAAGTGGCTTTCTCCCGAGCCCATTTTAATTTTGGAGAAGCTCACTTGCGATTGTTCAACATGTTGTGTAGTGCTTTCGATTCCAATCTTGCAGGCCTGCTTGAAAAAGAGAAAATTGTCAAACAAAAAATCTCAGTGCACTGTTAAAAATCAAAAAATATGAAGGCCTTTTTTTAGAAGTTGTCTAAGCATACTCTCTTAGAATGATAGATCAAAACACAACTAACTGGTAGGTTAAAAGTGGTAACAAAAGAAAATGCATCAGCCACGTAAATCCCCAAAACATTCATCCACCAGTCACACACCTCACACAACAGCAATATTCTATTAGATGATGAGTTTTTGTTTCCCCCATGTACCCAGATGTGTGTCATGATAAAACCTCCCTCACACATCAGAAACAAGAAACTCAATAACCTATTTGTCTCCATTCATCTGACCCTCCTGCAACATTCTGTTCACCCCTGCTATGATTGAATCATCCTTCCCCAAAAACAATAGTTCACTAGTCTATGTATCACCTTTTAACCTACTAAGTGAACCGGACAAGATGATAGTAACAGAAATGCATGCTTAAAAATACTGTTTGATCTTCATGAGCTTCATTGCATGTGTGTACATGTGTTAGTAGGATTAATGCATTTTTCTGTTTGTGTAATTTTTGTGTACCTCTCCTCTTTGCGGCGCTCCAGACACTTTTCAATTCTCCACGCAAGGCAGTTGTTTTTTCTTCCCAGTTTCCTAAACCCAAATTTCATTTCCCACACTAAAACAGCCTTCCTCCATGTCCTCCCCTGCTCCTTCCACTGTGGTCTCATCTCTCCTCCTTGCAGCAGTCCAACTATTCACATTTCATCTTTTAACTATTTAAATTTTCAGCTTTTTCCTTTTAAACAAATTTAAAGTGAAACAACACAAAACACTGCAAACCACAACACAATTAAATATAAATTATAATATGAAAACAAAAAGAACATGCACATTCTCTGTCATATGGGCCTGCATAAATAAACTTTCGGAATCCTTTATCATCCACAACTGAAAATAGTTGTGGATGATTACTATACCTTTCTAATGTGATGTTGTTGTCCCTGGCTCTCTTTCGTCTCTTTCCCTTGGGCTCTGTTCCTGTGCTACTGCAAGTGTAACTACCGCCCCTCCCCCCTCTGCTCAGCGCAAAGCACAAGGCTTGCGTGTGGAGTGAAGCGGGAAAAAAGTGCGAGAGAGAGGGTGAGACAAAGGGGAAAAAAAGAACCCACGGCTCGCGTCGTCCAGCTCACTAGAATGGACTGGAGCCTCCTGCTTGAGGGGAGCAGTGTTTCATCTCATGTCCTACTGCTTTAGTCTGTGTAAACAAAATATGAGTAAAACATTACCAAGCCAGATTATATTTGGCATATTTTAAAAATAGAGTACATTACGGTGAAATCTGCTGTCAATTTGACATTTATATTTACCCTTTTAAAACACATTTTAGTTATATACATCAGACAAACTATTTGTAGAGCACTTAAATGTTTAATATTGTTTTTATAGTTGTACTGATAAGCGTTGATCACCAACAGCTTCATTAATGTGGATGAACTGGACGGTTCCAGGGAAACTATTATGATCACTTGCCTCTAGTGGTCACTGTAAGTAACTACAACTCTACACTTGCAAGAATTAAAGATATTTTTTATTGCAGAAAGATGGAACAAAATTTTGTTTCACTCACTGGCAAACAATGGCAAGAGATAAAAATAGTTTGTTAAAAAAAGACAAAAATGGTAACAATGAAAAAAAATACAAACGACAGGATTAGGATCAATACAATACACAGCAAATGACGGTGATGTTGCCATGGTGACCACTGCCATATATAGTATTTATGTTACCTCACTTGTCTTAAACGTCAATATTGGCTGTGTTTCATTTTACTAATGAGTCCACTCTCTTCCCTGTCTTCCTCATGTTTGAGATTCTCTCAGAGAGGATTTAAGAAAGAGCTTTGATGATGGCTGGCTATAGCTCAGGAGATAGAGCAAGGCATCTAATGATCAGAATGTTGTTAGTTCAATCCCTGGCTGCTCCAGTTGGCATGCAAAATATACTTGAGCAAGATACTAACCCTCTCCATAATCCATCAGAGTATGAATGTGTGCAGAAAAGTTCTAAACAAGAATCAGTTTATTTACCATGAAAATATCAAAATAGAAAGCGATGTCAGTTATGGTGGACTGCACAGCCAGATCACATGATCAACTGAGTGGTACAAATAACAGGAAATCTTCTCTTGTGGCGTTAATAATCATTTGAATTAATAACTTATGATTTGCAGATTGTTTTATATCTTTTCATTGTCATCTGTATCACAGTAAAAAATCATATTGGAAAATATAATATTTATATCTAGTTTCTAAAGGATGGTTTAATTCTCCAAATGCCACCACTGACATGTTAAAGTTGAGTTATTTCATCATTCTAAATGTACTGAAAATAAATATCAGCATCTTTCATACATCTCATGATGTGTTTCTGACTGAAAGAGCCAAATATGTACAGACTGAACTGTTTCTCTAACAGGGGAACGCTAACTACACAGAGTCACTGACTCAAAGTCAAATAATAGTTTATTCAAAGGAGGGCCATAAAAGTCGATAATACCCTTTGCCAAACCATCCGATGGAGCCCAGAACCCAAATCCAGGATAAAGAGGTTCAGTGAATGTGGTGTTGAAGGTGTGGAGGTGGATCACAGTGTCAGAGGAGACTCTGTAGAAGGACAGAGTGCCAGCAGGACAGTCCACATACACTGCTGCTCTGTTAGAGACAGAGGAGGAGGAGGCGGACGTTTTTATGCTTCTGTGCCAGACAGAATGAGCATCATTAGAGCATCTGAGACTCCAGGACTGATCATTTAAACCAAACACACACTCATCACTCCTTCCTTTCCTTTTGATTCCTCTGTAACTCACTGATATCCAAGCTGTTCTTCTCCACTCAACCTCCCAGTAACAGCGACCTTCAAGCTCATCTTTACACAGCAGCTGAGGATACCAGTCAAATCTGTCTGGATGATCAGGATATAATGGAATCGATAAAACACGTGTCACCTTCCTGTTGTTTTCAGACAATTTGAGGTTTCTGTTCACTGTGTTTGTGTCGATTGTGAGTTGACAGGAATCTGATGGAGAAAAAAAAACACAATCCAGCAGCAGTTATGGATCCATCATCTATTCATTGATTGACACTTTGATGATGACTCAGAGATGATCAGAGATGTGAATGAGTGATGTGACAGTTTGAAGGTGGTTAAATGTTTCCGGGTTTTTTTTATGAATCACATTAAAAGCACACTTACACTTCCTCAGACCTGGTGTCAGCCATCGGACTCCAGCAGGCTCCACCCTGAAAGGAGGAGGGGGGTCAGACCAGCACAGTCTCTTTCAGCATGCACACATGGACATTACATTGCTCTCATACACATACTGTTAGACACTGATAAAGGAAAAATCCAACATTTTGACACATACACTTGAAGAAAATGTCTAAACTTCAAAAGAGCAAAAATGATTATCAGATTACATCATAATCTTTATTATTAAGCACGATGTCCAGAGAGCACTCAACATGTGCCACAGTCACAGTCAAGTTCAACACACTGTGACATTCATTCACGCTGTCAGGGAGTGAGTACATATTAAAAATAAAGACTGGGACTGGGTACAAAAAATGATTTAGTACAGGTAGAGTGCAGCAGCCAGTGCATCACATATTTTGAGCTACTGTAGCGGCCATAGAATATGATGTGATCTTCATGATCATTAGTGTACCCTAACTCTTTGCTATTGCTTTTACAAAGGTTATGCTTCAGTCAGGATGGAATAATTCATAGATTTTATTTACTAGCTCCACGTATTAGAACACAAATCTGCAATTCCATGCTTTAGTCTGTAAACAATTATAACTGTAATAAATGAGACATAATACAACATGCCATTGTGATATGACACAAACAGCAGGAATAGCCAATGAGCTTAATTTACCTAAAATTAAGTCAACATTCCTGCTTCCTGCCACTCATTCTGAGAAAGAGTTCCTCTTTCATCACCCTATAAAATCAGCTGGTTCATTTCTTAGTTCATGTACAATCATCTATTATTTTTTTGTTCAGACTCTTTCTTCTCTCTGTTTGTTCTAAATTGACAATATCAGTGACTCCGTGACCTGTTAATTAACAGGTATGTTGTATTTTTCTGCATGTGGATGATCACTGAGGGACCTGCTTGCTTTTCATTTTCCCGTCTGTGATGTGTTGCTACTTAACCTGAATGTGAATGGCAAGAATGCATAAATAATCAGATCAATGTGCAAACAGAAGCAGTGGCAGTTAAGTCAAAAGGAAGCAACTGTCACTTCACTGTTCATTTGTTTCTGTTTTTGTATTCTCTTGCTCTGTTTCACTCACTCTCACTCTCATTCTCATACTTGTCGTTTTCGGATTGCTTCTGTCCTCTGGCTGACCTTTATGATGTATAGATTTATTTCATATTCTCCTAACTGTATATAACAGTATATATCCTAACAAATATTTGTACATTTGAGAGTTCAGTTGAGCACAGTATGTAATGTCAGAGTCCTTTCACAACATGATGTATCACAGCATCACACTAAAATAATTATACCATATGTTTACATGTTCCTTTTGTATGTGTGTTTAAAGGCTCATCATCTTCATTTATTTATGCAAAAATATCAATAACATTTGACTGAAGTGCTGGTTGGCTGCAGGACCACCATGCAGGCTCTTTCTAGAGCTCTCAACGGCACAGTATATATCCTGCAGTGCAGGCTGCAGGGTAACATAACCAGTGGTTGTTAATGCTAGACCGGCTTTACAGTCAAAAACACCCACTAGTCTGGGCCTAACACCCCAACCGGTGACCCAGTTTGCTCCACCAGCTCCATTCCATTGATCCTTAGTATTCACTTACTGCTGTAATTATTATTTCTTATTATAATTTGAATTTGAATTTTAAGGTTGATCGACCAAAGTTAATTAACTTTCACTATATGTAACTGTGACTGTGTCATCACAAAGTCCAGAAGATCAATTTGATATTTTAGCACAAACAAGTTTCAGTAGTAAACGCTCAGAAGCAGCAAACTAGCAATGCAAAGCCCATTTTTGTAGTTGGCCAGTTAGGTTGAGTGACCTAGTAATCCATTTATTTTAACAATTCTTTTTTTCTAAGCTAGGCAAACAATGTCCCCCTAATTCTAGTTTATGCTAGAATTAGGGGCTAAACATGTCCTGGGCATGGTCTCTACACACAGATAAAACTTAATCTAAATAAAGGTCAGAGAGTAAAAATGTAAGTTCCTTTCCACAAATCAGTTAGAACAGGTTGCACCATTGTTGTTGACAGAGAATTTGCCCTTTGAGACCCCTTACAGACATCTACTGTTTATGTTAGACCAGAATGGGAAAAATGTTCCTACATGTGTGATTATTCAAATTACACTATCCAGCATTAAGTTATCAGACAGTGTTTGTGGTTGTAACGGCCATCTACATACCAGAGAGTGTCCAGTCTTAGCTGCTCAAGCATCTTCACTACTGCCTCTCCTGGACTATTGTAGCTCAGGTCCAGCTCTTTCAGATGGGAAGAATTGAGGCTAAAAGCTGAGACCAGAGACTTGCAACCTTCTTCTGTGATCAGGCAGCCTGACAGCCTGTAGACATGACAAATACTCTTAGAGAATAGCAACACAGCTAAATGCAAACAGAAAAATTGCAGCCAAAAATCATTAAAAAATGACACGACTGAAGCAGTAGTTAAAAATAGCCATTAGTCAATCTAAACCTTAAAATCGGCAAATGATAAAAAATAATGAAATAAAAATTAAGACAAAAAATACATAAAGTAGGGCTGAGACTGTTTCGGGTGTCATCAGCTTTGTTGCTTTTTGGTTCTAATGAAAATATTGGGCAAGCGAGACGTCTGACCAGATTATGACAGGAAATTAAGTCTATATTATAAAAGTCTTTATATCTTATATTACCTTGTGAGGACAACAAAAACATCTGAAATAAATATGTTCAATATGTTGGACAATTTCCAACACTTTATTTATACGTTTTTCATTTTTTGATCAGATAAATCGCGTAGATTAGGATGAACAATATAATAGATAATTTGACAAATCACAACAGAAAGCCCTGCATTGCTTAAAGATTTTAAATAGTCATCTATTGACCATTTTAAGAATGCTGACCTTAGTGTTTCCAGTTTACAATACAGACTTTCTAGTCCAGAAGACAAAACTTTCACTCCAGAGTCCTTCAGGTCATTGTTACTCAAGTCAAGCTCTCTCAAACTGGAGGGCTGGGAGCTGAGAAGTGAAGACAGAGTTTCACAGCTTCTCTCTGAGAGATTACAGACACTCAATCTGAAGAGACAATAATGAGAAAAATAACAGCATGTTAAACTTTGTGGTCTGCATCTTTGAAAAAAAATATGATCTTGATAAAATATAATCTTTATTAATTAAACATGTTATTAAATCATTTATTAAATTTCATTAATTTAATTTAAAACATTTATTGAATTATTTATTTCCAAATTAATTAATCAATGACACATGTAATTAACAATTATAGATTTAATTAATCAATTATTGAAACATTAAATTAATTATTTAATGATGTATTTACTTAATTCATTTTAGCACTCCTGGCCCTGCGGCTTTGTTCATTAATTAATTTCATTTGTCACCCATCAAAGTCAAGGGGTGGGGTTAACACTGCCACTCCAGCTTGTGTAACATCTTATTGCTTACCGCGCACAGTCAATGAAGACAGTTTGATCTTAGATAACCAATTGCTATGGACTGGCGGTAGTGTTGACTTCGGACAACCAGGTATCTCAGAATGCATTTCAAATCACAAGCGGTAATGGTGCTGCTATAAACTGTAAATAGTGATGATGTGATGAAGCCCCATGAATGTGTCGAATCTTTCTGGCCAATTGCGTCACTAAAAGGCAGATCACACCAAGCCTTGTTTAACCGCTTATTTGGAAGTACTGACACCTGATAACTATAAATATGATAACTATAAATTAACTAATTCGTACATTTCTTTTGTAATGAAAAATGTAAAGACTCATATCGCCGGTAAGTTATGCCAGCTGTTTAATTCACAGTAGCTTTTCCAGTAAATATGGCAACCACAGACACTGATCCAGGCCAGACTTTGGGGAGTACCCCTCATGTCTCTTTGAAACTAAAAAAACAGTCATTCATTACAGTCAGCTGTGAAGTGAGTTCATTGATTGTCTTCTGCATCGATGAAAATGTCTCTCCTGTTTATCTCTCAATTCGCATTTATTATAGCAATTATATAATGTTTAGTATAGATATAGATAGTTACCAATTACCATTAATTGCTAACCTTCTAGAAAAGGTTGTGGCTAAGCAACTTATAGCAGTTCTAGACAAACACAGCCAGTTTCAGTCCAGCTTTCGGAGAGTTCACTCTACGGAAACAGCCCTTCTTAAAGTCTCAAGTGACATTTTGATGAGTAATGATGCAGGAAAATGTTCTGTTCTGCTCTGTTCTGGACCTCACATCGGCTTTTGACACAGTTAACCACAACATTTAGCTTGAAAGGCTAAAATATTGGCTTGGTATATCTGGAACTGCCTTGGAGTGGTTCTCCTCATAGTTACATAACCAATGTTTTTCTGTCACGGTCTCTTATTTCAGGTCATACTCTACCTCCCTTACTTATGGTGTCCCTCAAGGTTTTGTTTTGGGGCCTTTATTGTTTTTAATATAGCTTCTTCTCCTCCAACGTATAATGAACCCCTCCAAGGACATTTCCTATCACTGTTATGCTGATGAGATGCAGTTATACATTTTTTAAGCCCCAAGATTTATCTAAGCTCCAGTTTCTGAATGACTGCTTAAATTCGATCAAACGTTGGATGGCTGTTAACTTCCACAAACTTAATGAGGGGAAAACTGAAGTCCTTGTATGCGCTCCTGACAGATTTTTCCCCCTGATAGTGTAAGCCCTTGGGCCTCTTTTGGTCTATGTTAAATCCCCTATCAGGAATTTAGGTGTAACTTTTGACTCGACTCTCACATTGGATGGTCATGTCAAATCTCTGGTTCGGTCTTGTTTTTATCATTTAAGAAATGTTGCTAAATTAAGATGTATTGTATCTTGCTCTGAACTGGAGATTGCTATACATACATTTATTTCTTTATGCTTGGACTACTGTAACTCACTTTTTATGTGTCTAGACAAAGGTTCCCTGGATCGTCAGCAGGTTGTGCAAAACGCTGCTGCTAGGCTTCTGACCAAAAGATGAGAACTAAAGGTGATAGAGCTTTTGCCACTGTGGCCCCTGTTGGAGTGATTTTGATAAAAGTTGTCATTGTTGTACTTAAAATTGTAAACCTTGTCCTGAACTGCATGTTCAGATATTTTTCTGTCCCTCCCCTACATGTAGGATGATGGGGAGGCAATAGCTATAGTGTTTAATTGAAGGCACATTCTATGTAAGGTTCTGGTTTGCTTATTTAGTAAGGCATGATTACTTCCTTCCATTTATGGGCTCACCTGTGCTTGTATATGGTGGACCATTAAAGGAGTTGAGCCATATAGAGGAGATGACCCTTTTATGACCAGCAGGAAGTCACGTATACAAAGGTATACGTGACTTCCTGCTGTTTCACACATGTTTCACACATGTGTATACACATATGTGTGTGTATACACATGCACACACATGCACACACACACTCACGTGCATGCACATGCATGCACACGCACACAGTGCCTTTAACTTTTATGACACACCATATGGGTTTTACAATGGGGTTGTGTGTTCACTGAATAAAAGGCTGCAAGGGGACACTGTTTTTTTGGAGTTGGCTGGGATCAGGTGAGGATCTTGTAGCTCCAAGATCCTGATCCGACCGGCTTCCCTTGCAAGTTTGAAACCGATCGAGCTCTGATTGTCTTGCTTCGTTCACAGGGATAAGTCTCTGAACTAGCGGGGCCTGGGAGTGCAGACCTAACAGCCCCCAGACTGTGGAACACCCTTTACCCAGCCCTGTTGCTTGTCATGTGTTTCTTTGGTGTATTAAGAGTTTTTTCATGTGCTATGTGCAGAGGTGTTTTGTTCTAAAACTGAACTCCCTGTTGGAGCTCAGTCTGGGTGGAGTTATTTTTTCTCCTTATCTTTCCTCATATGGTGCATTTTTCCATTGTTACACCTCTCTGACCTGTCTTCCCCATGTGATGTTTTGTGTAATGTATGTATGGCCGGAGGGTAAGATGGCGCCGCCATTGCGTGCAATAGGTCGGCAGCCTTATGAAATTTCCCCTTGTGGGACTAATAAAGGTATATCAAATCAAAACTCTCTCGCTCTGAGCCTAAGAACTGTGGACTCAGTAGTCGCTTTTAAAAAACAACTCAAAACTCACCTTTTTAGAATTGCTTTTGGTTAATTCTTCCCTGTTTATGTTGTTTGCTTTATGTTTTATGAATTGTTATTCTATGTGCAGCACTTTGTGATTCTCTGTCTAGAAAGGTGCTATATAAATAAAAATTTACTTACTTACAGTTAGGTCCATAAATATTTGGACAGAGACAACTTTTTTCTAATTTTGGTTTTGTACATTACCACAATCAATTTCAAATGGAACAACTCAGATGTGGTGGAAAGGATGGGAGGAAAGGATTTTTTTGTAAAACAATCCCTATAATTGGACAAATTAAATAACTGAAAACAAAATGTTAATTTCTAATACTTGAAACCCCTTTGCTGGCAATGACAGCCTTGAAGTCTTGAACTCATAGATATCACCAGATGCTGGGTTTTCTCCTTTTTAATGCCCAGTGACTTTACTGCAGTGACTTTCATTTGCCGTTTGTTTGTTGGCCTTTCTTTTTTTTTTTTTATTCAAAACATTTTTATTGAGTATTTGTGGATATAGTTTACAAAGAAAAAAAGAAGACGTAAAACACAAACAGTTGGAACATTGTTTTCCTCTCTTATTATTTACCAAACAAGCAACGAGAAAAAGGAAAAAGAACAAAAACAGAAAAAAAACAAAAAGAGAGAAACACCCCCCGAAAACAACCCCATAAGAGCCACACAGAAGTTAGCTACACCATCACTGAGCTCCACGTTCCCGTTAACACAGACAGACATCTGACCACTATGGAGAAGCAAATCTGTTAGACAGCTGGAACATCCTTAAGTTGAAGTTCAGAGAAATTTTCCAGAAAGAGATATTTGTTGGCCTTTCTGTCTGTAGTTTAGTCTTCAACAAGTGAAATCCATGCTCATTTGGGTTAAGATCAGGTGACTGACTTGGCCTTTCAAGATACTACCACTTCTTTGCTTTGATAAACTCCTGGGTTACTTTGGCTGTTTTGGGTCATTGTCCAACTGTATTATGAAACACCACCCAATCAGTTTGACTGCATTTATGTGAGCAAACAATACATCTCTGAACACATCAGAATTTATTCAGCTGCTTCTGTCCTGTGTCACATCATCATACTTTTTTTTCTAGCCATCCTTCTGGTAGACGGTGTTCTTGGTTTCATCTGTCCAAAAAACATTATTTGTGCTGGCTTTTTTAGAGTCCAATCTAGCCTTTCTATTCTTGAGGCTTATGAGTGTCTTGCACCTTGCAGTAAATGCATTCATTTGTTTATGGTAGCCTTGAATATCAATACGCTTACCTCCTGGAGAGTGTTTGTTTACATTGTTGGATGTTGTAAAGGGGTTTCTCTTCAGCATGGAAATCCTTCTGCAGTCATCCAGCACTATTGTCTTCCTTGGATGTCCTAATATTGTAGCAATTTCTCAGATAGGCTTAAGGATGGCTTGTTTCATGGAGAGCTCCTTTGACCATATGTTGTCTGTTCACAGCAAAATCTTCCAAATGCATGCACCACACCTCAAATCAACTCCAGGCCTTTTATCTGCTTAATTGATATGACATAAAGAAGGAATTGCTCACACCTTCCCATGAAATAGCTTTTGAGTCTTTTAGTCCCTTTAAAGTTGCTGAAACTCTTAAATCCTTTATCCAATTTGAATATGGGTACCCTCAAATAAAAGCTGAGAGTCTACACATTATGCCCATGTTTCCATTATATAAATAATTAAATATATATAACTAAACAGGTAAAAAAAAGAAAAGAAAATTTGTGTCTTGTAACTGTATGCAGGGGGAATACACTGCCCACTGTACTAAAATCCAATGAAGTGCAATCTGTGTGTCGCATTGTCAAAGGAATACGCATGTATGAATTTGGTAATTTAGAAAATGTATAAATGTTGCTCTACTTGATTCTGATCTGCTGCTGAATCTCTTTTATGCTGATGGAAATGTAGAGTTTGATCTGTGACACACTGAAACATTAATCTCTTATTGGGCTCTTCAGTGTCTCCAAGAACCTGGGCCTGTTGCATGGTGGTACAGTGGTTATCACTGTTACCTCACAGCACTAAGGTCTTGAGTTCAACTCCACAAACAGGCTGGGGTCTTCCTCACACAGTTCAAAGACATGCAGTTAGTGGAGATGGGTTAATTGGAAACTCTAAATTGCCCATAGGTATGAATGTGAATGATGTGTCTATGTGTTAGCCCTGTGACAGACTGGCGACCTGTCCAGGTTGTACCCTACCTCTCAGGGGTGGGATGACTTTGATGGGTGAGGCTGACAGAAAAAATATAACAACTTGCAGCCTTTCATGGGTTTGCTCTGCAAAGTGTCATCCTGACGTCTGCTGTGGACAGACAGAGTACTTGGTCATTGGGGGAGGGGGGCATCTTCCTTGCTTGCTCTTTGTTCTCTGCCTCAAAATGTGCAAAGAAGTCTTTCAGGCAGGGAGGGATCACTGCTGCATGCCGGAGGTGTTGGCTTGTTTAAATGCCCTGCCACAGCTGAGAGTCCTTTGAACTTGTGAAGTGTGTGTTGTTGTTATCTGCATACTCCTGCTTTGCCTCTTTGATGGCCTGTGATAGGTCTGCTCTGGCTGTAGTGTAGGCTTCTCTATTGTTGGACTTAAAGGTAGAGTCTCTGATTTCTGATTCTTTGCAGAGAACAAGGGTTTATGGTTTGCATGGGTGATGATGGTCTCTGAGACAGTGACATCTTCATTGCATTTGCTGATGTAGGTGGTCACTGAGGTTGTGTACTCCTCCAGATCCACGGTGTCTGTGTATGTAGCAGCTTCTCTAAACATATCCCAGTCTGTGCATTCAAAGCAATCTTGCAGAACAGGTTTGCCCCCCTCTGGCCATGTTTTCACCTCTCTGAAGGTTGGTCTGATCCGCTTGTTGATGGGTCTGTAGACTGGGGTCAAAAGTATGGAGATGCGGTCCGATTGTCCATTGTGAGGGAGGGGTGAAGCCTTGTATGCATGCTGGATGTTTGTGTAAACAAGGTATAACATGTTGTCCCCTCTTGTTGCAAAGTCAATGTTCCGATGAAATTTGGGTAGAACTGATTTAAGTTTGGCATTATTAAAATCCCCAGTGACACTGAGGAAGCTGTCAGGGTGGGCTGTTTGCAGATCACTGATAATCTTGCAGAGTTCACTGCATGCTCCACTAGCTTTAGCATTAGTGCTAGTACTAGGTGGGATGTAAACAGCAACAATGATCACCACAGTAAAGTCTCTTGGGATATAAAACGGCCTGCATCTGACTGCTAAGGCCTCCACAAGTTCTAAAAAGTACACAGACACAATTGGAGCATTCCTACAGCAGCTGTTATTGATGTAAATACACAGTCCACCGCCATGCGTCTTGCCGATGATAGGGGGTCTCTGTTGGCATGGTGGCTATCTGGCCCATTTAGCTGGATAGCGTGGTCTACGATGCCTCCGTGTAGCCATGTTTCAGTAAAAATAAGAAAAAAGCAGTGCCTTGTTTCTTTCCTGGAGTTTATTAGTAGTCTCAAACAGTCCAGTTTGTTTTCTATGGAGCACATGTTGGAGAGCAGTGATGGAAGCGCGGTCGGCTACGGTTAGCTTTTAGCCTAGCATGGATACCGGCTCACTTACTGCACTTTCACTTCCTCGCACACCATTTTCAATGGACTTCCAGGCGGACGCTAAGATGTGGTGGTGCCGTAGCTCGTCTGTTCAGAGCTTGCAGTATGCAGCAGCAGCGCAGTTTCTTCACTGTATCTCCATCTGGTTGAGTTTACTGGTGTTTTCCTAAATCCAAAAGTTGTTGGTGGTTATAGAAGTGTTTGACTGTAGTTCCGACGTACATTACAGCTATATAATAAACCAGGACTCAAATAGAACTTGAGTAAAAACACAAAAATTGCACGATGATTTCAACACAGTGTGGCCACTGCAACCCAGCACGCCACCATCATGGTATTTACAGTAATACCATACCAAGAGTAAGGATATGTCAGTACAAAAACTAAATGTAGCTTTTATGTTGCAGATTTCAAGTCAAATCATAAACAACATAATCTGACCTGAGCGTTTCCAGCTTCCAGTTTGTAGTCTTCAGTCGAGAAAACAGTAGTGTCAAACCTGAGTCTTGCACGGTGTTGTTACTCAGGTCTAGATCTCTGAGCTCACAGTCTTCTAGTTGAAGAGAAGAGGACAGAGCTCCACATGCTCTCTCTGAGAGGTTACAGCTATTCAGCCTAAAAAGATATATGTATAACAAGAAGAATGGAATAGCAAGAGTTTTCTGTTTGTAAACTGAATTTAAATGATAAAAACATCATGACTTACAGAGCTTTTTTAGAGGCTTTGACCACTGGCAGCAGCCTCAGAAAAGCATCCTCTGAAGCAGAGTATTTCTTCAGGTCAAACACATCCAGATCGTTTTCTGATGACAGTAAGATGAAGACCAGAGCTGACCACTGAGCAGGAGACAGTTTATCAGTGGAGAGACTTCCTGATCTCAGGGACTGTTGGATCTCCTCCACTAGAGAATGGTCATTCAGTTCATTTAGACACTGGAACAGGTTGATGCTTTTCTCTACAGACAGATTCTCACTGAGCTTGTTCTTGATGTACTGAACTGTTTCCCGATTGGTCTGTGAGCTACTTCCTGTCTGTGTCACCAGGCCTTGCAAATAAATTTTATTAGTTTTCAGACCCAAAAGAAAACGAAGGAACAAGTCCAGGTGTCCATTTGGGCTCTGTAAGGCCTTGTCCACAGAACTCTGATAGAAGTCTTTCCCTGTGTGAGAGCTTGTTTGTTGTTCTTCCAGCTGATTGACTCCAGAGTTGATGAAGGTCAGATGGATATGAAGAGCAGCCAGAAATTCCTGAACACTCAGATGGACAAAGCAGAACACCTTGTCCTGGTACAGTCCTCTCTCCTCTTTAAAGATCTGTGTGAACACTCCTGAGTACACTGAGGCAGCTCTGATATCGATGCCACACTCTGTCAGGTCTGATTCATAGAAGATCAGGTTTCCTTTCTGCAGCTGATCAAAAGCCAGTTTTCCCAGAGACTCAACCATCTTCCTGCTCTCTGGACTCCAGTGTGGATCTGTCTCAGTTCCTCCATCATATTTGATCCTCTTGACTTTGGCCTGAACTACCAGGAAGTGAATGTACATCTCAGTCAGGTTCTTGGGCAGCTCTCCTCCCTCTGTGGTTTTCAGCACATCCTCCAGAACTGTGGCAATGATCCAGCAGAAGACTGGGATGTGACACATGATGTGGAGGCTTCGTGATGTCTTGATGTGGGAGATGATCCTGCTGGCCTGCTCCTCATCTCTGAATCTCTTCTTGAAGTACTCCTCCTTCTGTGGGTCAGTAAAGCCCCTGACCTCTGTCACCAGGTCCACACACTCAGGAGGGATCTGACTGGCTGATGCAGGACGTGTGGTTATCCAGAGGCGAGCAGATGGGAGCAGGTTCCCCTTGATGAGGTTTGTCAACAGTACATCCAATGAAGTGGACTTTCTTGTTTCAGTCAGGATTTTAGTTTTGTTGAAGTCCAAACTAATTCGGCACTCATCCAGACCATCAAGAATGAACACAACCTGGAAGTCTTCCAGCCTGCAGATTCCTGATTCTTTAGTTTTAGTAAAGAAGTGATGAACAAGTTCCACCAAGCTGAACTTTTCCTCTTTCAGCACATTCAGCTCTCTGAAAGTGAATGGAAAAATGAACTGGATATCCTGATTGGCTTTGTCTTCAGCCCAGTCCAGAGTGAACTTCTGTGTTAAGACTGTTTTCCCAATGCCAGCCACTCCCTTTGTCAGCACTGTTCTGATTGGTTCATCTCTTCCAAGTGAAGATTTAAAGATATCTTCTTGTCTGATTGTTGTTTCTGGTCCCTTTGATTTCCTGAATGCTGTTTCAATCTGTCTGATCTCATGTTCATCATTGACCTCTGCAGTCCCTCCTTCTGTGATGTAGAGTTCTGTGTAGATCTGATTCAGAAGAGTTGGGTTTCCTGCTTTAGCGATCCCCTCAAACACACACTGGAACTTCTTCTTCAGTTGGGCTTTAAGTTCACGTTTATAGAGTGGAGCAAATATTTCTGAAAATAAGTAATTCAGATAAATTAATTATTATATAACAAATATCATAGCCTTTCAGTACCCTGAAAGGATTAATGTGTGCGATAGATATAGAATAGATATTGGTCCATTTCTTGAGATATTAGGAAAGATCAATATGCAATCTTTAGAGAAATTCTCTTACTGCTCTGCAGATGGTCAGCCATCTCATGCTGCTTAAGTCTCCTCAAGAAGTGGAATGTGATCTTCAGAAATGCTTCTCTGCAGCTCTTTCTTTGATCTTCATCCTCATCTTCAAACATCTCCTTATCCTCCCTCTGGCTTTTTATAGTTTCTCGGTCATCTGGACTCAGAACCTTTTTGGTTTTCTTCAGCTCATTCTTCACAAACATCATAATGTTGTCCTCCAGCCGCTGGAAAAGAAGACCATATGAGTTACCGAGCGGTCTTTCTATACAGGCGCTATGGAGAGCATCCTCACACAGAACATTGCATCCTGGTATGGGAACAGCTATGTTAAGGACCAAAAAGCTATTCAGAAAGTGATCCGTACAGCAGAACACTGCTGCAGGGCTGCCCACCCCTCCCTATAGAACATTTACACCAGGAGATGCTGGACTAGAGCAGCTCAGATACTGAAGGACCTGTCCCATCCCAGCAATACACTGTTCCAACTTCTGCAATCATCTGAGCCCTGAGTCTCAGGCCATCCCCCCCATTCACAACGGCACAATACACTTTAACACACCATTTAGAAAATGTACATTCTCAGATTTGAACTGTAAATTTCCAGATTGTTTTATTTTATTTATATAATATATATAACTCACTCACTTATTGCACATAATGTCATCTTTGTATATATTCACTCCCTGTATATAATGTTCTCTCTCTCTTGTTTTTTTGCACAGTCGAGCATATCAGGTTACATTTCACTGCGTGTGTCACGGACCCGGCTCTGGGGACTCGGGGTCCATGGGCAGTGGGGACTATGACTGTTGTTGTTGTTGTTATTATTATTATTATTATTGTCATTATTATTATCATTTGGTGTGTTGTCTGCACTGCCTCTTATCTCTGTCCACATCTGTATGTAGGCAGGTATGTGTGTGTGTTGCCTTTTTTCTGTGGCCATGTTACAGGCACCTTAAGGACTGAGGGGCGTGGCCTAGCTTGAGGACTGGCCACACCTTAAGTCCTTGCTACACACCTGCTCCTCATCTGGGCTCGTCGGGGGAGCTATTTAGAAGAGCGATGGAGCTTCCACCGGCGCAGGATTATTGCGTTTGACTTCACGTCAGTCTTCAAGCACAGTCAAGTGTGAGTGTTAAGTGCTGGGATAAGTGTGTAACGGCTGGCTCTATTGTTTTCCCTCAGGAGGAGTGTGGGACGTGAAGGAGCAGTGAGCACGGGGAGTGCAGGGACACTGGAGCAGAGAGCACTACACTGGGACTTTTCTGGGAAGAAGGCACAACACGGGAGTCTGGGACACTGGGGAATTTATTGTTGTTTACTTCACCACTCTGTAAATAAACACTGTTGCACGGAAGAGTCCGGCGTTTGGGTCCTGTTTCCCCACCTCCCCACGGTCTGCTAGCCAGACCGTGACAGTGTGTTGTACTTCTATAACTATGCACGTGACAAATAAACAATCTTGAAATGCACTGGTTCTTATACAGCCCTTCTACACTCTGTGCATTCAGAGTACTTTATACAACATGCCACATTTAACTATGCACATTTTTCTATGCTCAAATGCTTTTTAACTTTAACACTCTGATGGTTGCATCAGAGAGAACTTTGGGTTTAGTATCTTGTCCAGTACATTTACCAGCCAAGGTTTGATCCACCAACCTTCTGATTAGTAACTGACCTGCTCCCCTCCTGAGCTACAGGCACCCCCAAATGGACTGAAATCATGGAACCAAAAATCAGATTCATATTGGACACACTGTCAATCCACTGGTCTACAAAGTGCAGCATAGAGGTGACCAAAAAAAAACACATGTAAAAGTAGTAGTACAGACCATAAACACAGAGTCCAGGTGTGTTTGACGCTGCTGTGCAGACTGACCAGTGGGAACCTCTGCTCTCTCCTGGTCCACTCTGTGGAGGAGTGAACTATAATTAGGTCACGTTATGTCTGTCCCCACACAGATGCAAGGTCCATGAAGTGATGTTTTGATGGGTTCAGTGAATACGATGACTCCCTGCAATGGTGAAGCTTTGCTAGTCCTGGTGATCTCACTGAAAATTAAAAACTCAGTTTTCAGATGTCTGTAGCTTTCTGCTCAGTTTTTTTAGTCCCAACAGCTCTTACCATCTCGTGCATTAAGCTTTCCCTCCATGCTGAGATGCCCTGGAGCAAGGTACTCTCTCTTTGCACCAGTGACTGGTTTGAAGTGACAACTTCCAGCGCTCGGTCAACTTTGTGTCAGGAAAAGTACATCTAATGTATCACTGTAACAAAACACTGTGTGGATCGTAGATTTTATTAGGTCACCGCAGGCATAGATTTCCAGCTGAGGGACAAACAGGGACCTATTTTAAGGCGCAGGTTCAACAAACGGAGTCTAGCCATAAACTCTGAGTTGAATCTGTCGACAGGCTTCAGTTTTAATTTCCAGAAAGGCTTAGTTACTTCAATCAAGTCTGACTATGTTCACTTTGAGTTGTGGAGCTCAAGGTGCACCAACTAAGAAGGCCTGGAGAAGGCTGATGAAGGACAGGGTTTGAAAGCACCAGAGACCAAAGATGAAACAGACATCAGAGAGACACAGAAGTAGGAGTTTTCCACAATTGCTACTATGTGTGTATGTGGTTTTATGTCACGATGGCCAACACAGGTTAAAGGACTCAGGTGCAGACACCACTCTGAAGCTCAGAGGATCAGCGAAAAGCAAGATTTTATTTCAGCAAGCAAAGGTGACACAGGGGAAAATAGTTAAAGGCAAAAACACTAAACAAGAACAAAAGGCGAGAGGAATAAATCTAACCTCTGGAGTTACTCAAAC